GTTTTAAAGTGACATTGATAAGTCATGTACTACTGTATTTCTGTTGGGGACTCATTCTCCAACAATGGCAGATGTTTCAAGTGTCTTGCAAGTCGTGGGATTCTCCCAGAGATCAAGAAGGCCTCCCGCATGCCCGCAGGCAAGACGATTCTCTCAGAAAATAACCCATTTCCCGCAAATTTATTTTGTTTTTATATTTTTGCGTTATTATTTATATGTGTTATTTCTCATTTAAACCGATCTCCCCGAAATGGTTTCTTCCAACTTGGGACCCTGATAGTATGCCGATATCTTTACATCATTGTTCCTTAATATTCAAGCACTGTCCTCTGAACACCTATTCTATCAAAAAGGAATTGTTTCTTATACTGCAATGTTACACAATTAAAGTACTAAAATGTGATTATTGAAACTTCACAAGTTTGTAAATATGGTTTAATTACAGGTTGCTTTCTACTCTGTGTAAACAGTTGATATATACTGTAATGTTTATAGTAAAAGCTTTTAAATATAAGATAGAAGTCACAGCACCAGTGTTTATTCAATATGGCGGCTATAATGAATAATTTATATATTAGTCTTGCAATTCAATTGATCTTGTAATGCTACTACTAGAGAAAAGTAATATATAATTGTCTGTCGGTATAATTTTATACCTCTGTGGAACTTTTAATGCACCTCAAAAAAGTGTCAATGATAAAAGTCATTAAATTAGTTCTTCATTCCTCCATTTTTAACCTATGAGCAGGTATCATTATCATATTCCTTGTAGTAAATGTCATATTATGAAATGCTAAAATCAATAGTGTTTTAGTTTACACTATTATAATTGAATATTTTCTTATGTCAGGGGTAATAATGAATATAAATGTAATGTATGTAGTATGCAAAAGGATATTACTACATTGTCTTGAATGAACTACAGTATTAATTTTAAAAGAGTAATCACATGGGTATGAAATTCCAAATAGAAGAAAATTTACACAAATCTGAAAATAAGTAAATTTTGATCAAAACATAAGCAAGGTAATATATTTATTAGTTTTAAAACTATATTTGCATATTAAAAGGTAGATTCTAATATCCCAATTCACGCATACACTTTTTCCAAATTTAGTAACCGGGTTTGGGAGAGTGTGAAAGCAAATCCGGAGGTTCCCTGATATGTCTCTGAAGGAAAACAGGCCAACTTGAGGCCTCTTTTTCTTCAGAGATATTCCAAGAATCCAAATTGTTAACTGCAGTATAGAAAAGCGAGGGAAATTAAAAAATAAGTAGTAGTTGAGTAGGCGAGTTAGCCTAGCAAACCGAGACTTGGCCTAGACCTAGTGCTATTTGTCAATGCATGTAAACATAGGCCTTCTTTAAACATACTGTGCATTGGAATGATGCGCCGGATGATGATTAAAAAGATGGCGGCCTCTCTTGAAAATTCGTGCCCAACTACTGGATTGTTTATAATTTGAGGTCTGGACATTTTTAAAAAGTTTGTTTTCATTTTGAAGGAAACCTGCAGTTTTTTGAACAAAAATAACAAGTACTGCCCTCAATTACCCAAAATTGTCATTCTTCCGAGATGTTGCAAGCTTCGCAGAATGCATGCGTTAAAGCAGTAGGTTATCCCAAGATGTCAATTTTGTTAAAACTTACTTAATGTTTCTGTTACTTTAGTGTGAAAAGGTTATAAGGTTTATCCTGTCAAAAAAAATAAATTCAAAAATATCATATTGCTTACTTTTTATTAAAAGTATCAAGTAATGAACGATAAAAAAAAATACCAGCCAATTAAAAGGCCAATGCGAAGGACATAGGTATGATATAGATTGTGATTTGGTAGGAAAAACTTTACAATATTTGTTCTAATTTCAAATTGAAATATACAAGCAAATTACTGTAAATCTGCACTTCGTTTTCTCAATTTTGTTCTGTAACACAGACAGTTATAATAATAATAAAAAGATTAATGTCACAATTTCTTTGCCCTGGTGGAGAAAATCTTATACTACAGTGCACCAAAACTATTAAGAGACCAGAGAGACCACCATTTTTTCCACCCTAAGATTAATCTCCAGAGTTTTTGCTGTATCATTAGAATTCCTCTGGTATTTTACAAAATAAAATATCGTCAATTTCCAAATAATAAGCTAATTCTGTAACTTGCAAGGCATTTCATATATTGAGAATATGTTCATTGTATTGGTTGAGGAATATTATATCAAATAATAATTACATATTTTATGTTCAATTAATACTAATTGGCAGCAATAGAGGACTACTACAGTGTTTACCGTAGGGCTTATTTAGACGAGTTTGTATGTCAGCGATTATTTGGCACAGTGCCATACAGTGTGTGATGAATTGAGGTGAAATGGGTTTCAGCAGGAGTCATGGTATGTGTTATTTGGTGCAAAGCCTTCTATAATACTATTTGCTGTAAATTTACTTTACTATCTTTCTAGTTATGTTGATGAGAGAATTTAAGTCTCAAGTATACCATACATTTAAATTTTATAAAAAGTTCTCAATTAACCAAAACATAATCTATGATATGATAAAAATTTTTTGCATGTTACATTTTTATTTTTATTCATC